AATATAGTCAGTAAATTAATTTAATTGTAAGCCTTTAATCTCCAATTCAAATCTGTCACTAAAAAACATGAATAAAATAGCATATGGTATATTTATTATATATTTGTTATTTCAGCAATTTCGGGTGTTTTCCCTCTGCATAAATATGTACGATAAATATTATATTTGCATTTTGACATAAGCTACAGCAAATATATTCATGTTTTAATTCAATTTGAATTTGAGCTGGTGCAGGCCCAATGTGTAATGGAAGTTTAGCTGACGTCAGGCGGTAAACCTTTTTTTGTTAGCCAACTCGCAGTTGGCCCTAATGTGAGTGTGTGAGTGTGTTTGTGTGTGTTTGGGTCCCTGGTCGTGTAGGGTCCGAAGTTTCATGCGCCTGTCAGTTAATATTGACATATCAGTTTGTATTTATTTGATTGTTTCTGACAACTTATTGATTGCGAAAAGGGATAACTGGGCCGAGTATGGTACGTAGCCGGACTACACAATGGCCATATTACATTATAATAATGATTATGTTAATTCTCCTGCAGTTGATCCCAACGCCTTTGTATGTCGTTCGGCCGGGATCCCCATTTTCCTTTTTTTTTTGCCTTTTATTTGCTGTGGTTACGTTTGTTGTTGTTGTTGTTGCTGTTGACAGTTTTGAAGATAATTTGTAAACGGATATCGGAGAATAAGCTTATCGAGCTGTGCGGCTCATATTGATTTATTAGTTTGGCGCCTTCTACGTGTCCACGGAATAGGAAGTATTTTGGCCAATTTAATGGCCACAGTCTCCGTCCTGCTGATGTAGCAATGTGTCCGGCTTTGCTGGCGTTTTCTTGATGCGTCTTTGATTAAGTGTCGCCCAATGCCTACAAATGAGCTGTCAATTAATTGCTGTTGTCAGATATTCCTGTTGCGTTGCGCTCTATTTAAATGGCCCGGCCAGTGCGTGAGGCCTCAGCCTGAGCCTGAGCCTGAGCTTGTTGATTTTCAATTTTGTTGCGCAAACCATGAGGATTTCAAGTAGCCCTCTCTCTCTCACTCTCTCTCTAGCTAGCTCGCTCTTTTACGACCTTTAGCCTTGTTCTGCTTGGCCGTTCAGCTGATTAGCATAATTGGCTTTTCCTCGACTCCAAGCCAGAGTTGGCTTCCGTCTTCGAAAATTTTCTAATTAAACGTTGGCCTAATGGCGACAACAGGCCATTGAAACTTGGCCAAGCACTTCATTTGCACACTTTGAGCGACTATTTATATTGTTGTCAGTGAGTTTTAAAGTAAGTTTGCTGCAAATATTTGGCCAGACAACACAGAGACGACTACAGCGTATGGCTGTGTGTAACGAATACTTGAGCCACGTCGTGCACGTGCGCAGCTCACCGTCTACGTGCATGGCTAAAATGCATTTTTCGCTGCTTAAACAGAAAAACAAGACAAACAAACACACACACACATACACACACATATAACGCAGCTCGCTCGCCCCTCCCCCACCACTGCTCCGCCCACACAAAGCTATGTGCGTGTGCGTTATTGTCGAGTGCATTAAGTTTGCTTTGCTGCTGCTGCTGCTTGTGCGTATTTTGGTTATGGCCACAACAGCATATCTATACACACACACATACATATATTCATAGATGTGTGTGTGTGTGTGTGTGTGTGGCATATGCCAGTCTCTTTCAGTGCTCAACGTACGCAAGTAGTTTGCAATCAGTTTGTAAACAACAACTCGCCCGTTTGGATTTGTTGCCGCATTACGTATACGCCATGTATGCTGCCATTTGCCAATATATACATATGGCATACTACTTTTATGTGTGTGTGTGTGTGTGCGTGCGTGTGTGTGGGTGTCTGTGCGAGACTCCATCTAATGCACATAATCAGCTTCACTTTTGCAGTTTTCACCTCGTTGACATTGTTGGTTAAGCCCACAGAAATTCGGTCATCGTCGGCCTAAAAGTTGATTCCGAAACTGTGTTCAGCCCCGAAAAAATATTACATATTTTTGTTGCTAAGCCACATAACCTGCAGGTCAGGCCATTTCATATCGAATGGACAGAGCAGTAAGGCCCATAATGTTGGCATTGGTCAACGTCAAGCTGGCAAATAGAATAGTTGACCAAATGAGCGCAATATGAAAGGAAGTTGATAGAAAAAAGCAATTTGAGCTAGAGTGGCTGTTCAGGCTGGCTGAAGCCTCATTTGGGCTTTGGCTGATTAAAGTTTGTGCACTTTGTAGCTCTGTTTGTCTGCCTAACTAATCTCAGGCAGTTTGCTCAGGCTTAAATTTGTTCAATTCGGCTCGGAGTGGAGGTCAGGATGGAGGATGGACTATGGCCAAATTTAAGTTTTGTGTTAATAACTAAGCTGTATTTTTTAGTTATTTGACGACAGGAGAGCTCGCAATTAAATGGCAAAATACATCTAAAAGAAATTCTCTAGCTCGAGTTCAATTAACACAGAGTATAGCTGAAATATTTTGGAGCTATTCAAGACTCGCCTTGTCGCCTTGTCATTCATATTGCATTTGATTTTGTTCACCTCTGCAGTGCACGGAATAAAAATTTCAATTATACCAATGCAGCTGGAGAGGGGAAAAAGGGAAAGTAATACGAAAATTCTGTCAGGAATCGAAGGACGCGTTGTTTGTTTGTTTGCGTGTTTGATTTGTTTGTTAACAGTTTTCCCTTGTTATTGTTGTTGGATTTTTTTTCTCTTTAACTGTGGATAAGCATCGAAAGCTGTGCAGCGGACAGTTGTGACAGCATCGAGGGGCCAATGTTGTTGTCACTGCTGTTGTTCGCATTGCAATGCTGCGTATAATTGGCTGTTCGAAGAATACGTTGACATTGTTTACAGAAAACAATAAAAACATTGCTGACAGTCTGCACCCAGCTCAAGCTGCAGTTGGGAAAGACAGAGCACAAGCTAACCACATCTCCCGGAGCTAAACTCCACTTAAAGGACAATCACACAAATGCTCAGTAGTCGACTCGGCTAAGAGTTAAATACTAGCAAATAAGAGATTCACACATCAGCATCTTCCATTCATAATCATGCATATTCATGCATTGCAGCTCGACGTGCTAACAAGCCAACCCACCTCAAACCCAACCCAACCCAACTCAGCTCCTGGCAACACTTCTCTCTCGTTGTTGCATGCTCAAAGGAATGCTTATTGCAATATTTGATATTTCCGGTTCCGTTTGCCTCATTATGCTTTGTGTATGTTTTTATGTGTATGTGTGTGTGTGTGTGCTCAGGACTTGTAGATATTGCAACATAAGTCAAATAAATACAGCGCTCAGATTACTTGTAAGCCAGTAGGAGAGGGGGAGAGAGTAGGGTTACCAAGTCACCCCTCTCACTCTCCCTCTCCCTCTCCCTCTCCCTCTCTGTTGTATTATTGAAAATTTGCTGCATGCAGCGCACGCTAAGCGAAACTTAAATGAAATCCAATAAAATTATTGCCCCAGCAGGCATGCCCGAGCAGCTTGCCCTGGCTCGGCCGGCTTGTCCTTTCTCTCGGCTCGCAGCGGGTGCTTAATGTGATTTGTGCTTTATACTTATTTGCGTTTCAGTTTGAGGTTGGCTTTGGCTTTGGGTTCGCCTCTTTGGGTTTGGGTTTGGCTCTTTGGGTTTGAGGTTGACTGTGTCCCATGAAGCTGGTCGCATCATTTCAGTTTGTTTTTCCGCTCCGAATGCGCAATTCGAGCGTCTGCTCGACGGCCCAACAAAGTGCCAAATAATTTCTAATATTATTAAGTTAATGTTGCGCCGGCAACAATGGCCCATTGTTGTTGGCCGCCTGCATTTATCATGGTATAACAGAACATAATACATAAATTAAATCAATTAGCAACTTTCCGTGACGCCGTCTGACTTCCAACTTTTTCCGTCCGGCAGTTAGCCGGCAGTTAGCTGCCACGGCGTAAACAAATTAATTTTGCGGCCAGCTCCACAACTAATGGAATACTGATAGCAGGCCATTATTAACACGATACCAAGTAGCCAACTTTAGCTTTTGGCCAAAGGCAATGCAGGCGAACAATGCTTTTTCAGTTACATACATCCTATGTATGTATGTGTGTATGTGTGTATGTGTGTTGCTCTATAATGGGGCGTTACAGCTGAGTTATTATGAAACATAGCTGGAAATGAGTTTTATGCATTTATATTAGCATGAATTACTACTCTAGACAAAGTATTCAGAACTATTTTTGTTTCATTTTATATTTTGCTACAAATTTTATTTTATATAAATAATAGAGATATCTAAAACAAAAATTCCCAGAACTAAATATGGTTCAGCTCTGACTTTAGATATATATATATATATATATATATTTATTAAGAGTATTTAAACTTCAGCTGGCCAGAAGAAACTTTTTGCTATAGCGGCACACTCACTCACTCACTCTCTCTCTCTCTCTCTCTCTCTCTCTCTCTCTCTCTCTCTCTCTCACGCTCTTTATACTTTATTTTTGTTTTGCCAAGTTGCCAAAATAAATGAGCTTCGTGTGTGTTTTTGGCTGCGGCTGCTGCAAGGCATCGCTGCACCTAAGCCAAACGAACTTTCAACATTTAGACATTAATTTTGTTGCATCCGTCCATTAGGCGAGCCAAAATTTATGTTGCAACTAATTGCAGGCAGTTACCGTGCTTCCGCGCTGCCTTTTTCTGTGCGCATGTGTGTGTGTGTCTAATGTGTGAAATTTATCGAGCGCGCAAAGTCAATGAGCATTAACTGGCATATCTATCTGGCTAGGCATGTGCGGGCCGTGTCTGCTTCCTCTAATTGATTACTTTCATTAAATATTGTCTGCCACCCACACACACACACACACACACACACACACACACACACACACACACACACACCACACACACACACACACGCGTTGCTGTTGCTGCTGCTATCGCCCACCTGTGGCCCAACCGCCGCACGGTTAATGAAATTTGCAACGCCTTGGCCGTAATAACACAATTTATTAGCAAAAGCCGCTGCGCTGCTTTAAACTGTCAGCTGTCAGTGCTCGGTGCGAAATGTTGACGATTCAGTTGCTGCTGCTGCTGCTGTCGGATACATTGTTGGCCGACAAAGTGTTAACAGTTGACAAGCTAACTTGGCGTCAGCTAGTCTTCTATCAATCGCGCTGTAAGTAGCAATGCAGAAATTTCTCTGAACACTTCAATGAAAGATTGGGCATGCCTCAACAGGGCCTCAGCGCAGACGCTTTATAACCACGCCAAAGCCAGGCACCCAGCCGGAATCGCCCAAGCTGCGCAAAGTCTATCCGTGCTACTGCTACAAGCCGCCAAAGCCCGGCAACTTGACCACAGAGGCCTATGAGAAGTATATGATTGAGCCGAAGAAATATTTCATACTAAATAAGTAAAAAGAAAATACTTTTAATTATAGTATATATTATATAATGAATATATAAACTAATTAAAAATATTAAATCATAATCATTCAATTTAAAAATGCTAAACTCAATGCTCTGTCTCTCTCTCTCTCTCTCTCTCTCTCTCTTTCTTTCATTTCATTTTCCCAATTGTTATAATTTTTGCATTGATCTAGATTCAATCTCGTTTGATTGTCTCAAGTTAATTGAACAAATTCCAAGGCTTAAGCTTTCTTATTAAAATTCCAAATATTGTTTTGATAACTCTTAATTGCGAGGCATCAAACGGACGCTTCTAATAATGGCATAATAAGACGCTGACTAAAAAACAGATTGCACGTTGGTATTTTGGTATTGTTCATTGTCGGTTGTCCGTTGTCTGTTGTCTGTTCTCTGTTGTCCGTTGTCCGCTGTCCGTTGGCCGTTGCCAGGCAATAATTACAAATTATGCATGAAACGATGTGGAAGTGCGGACAGCAGCAACGACGACTGGCGACTGGTTAATTGTGCACAGCAGCAGGCGGAATGAGACACAGACAGACCTCCTACCCCTCTCTCTCTCTCTCTCTCTCACACCACCTCTATAGCTCTCTCCTTCTACCTACTCAGTGTTCTCGGTTTTACTGAAACCCCTTGCCATCCTGACGCAGCGTCGGCATGTTCGCAATTTAGTCATTAACCGGAGAATGGCTTTCAGACGTCATTATGCTGATGGGCATGCAGCGTCGAGGCACTCAGTTTGATGTTCTAACTAACTGTCCAGTTGGGTCTGCTCCAACTACAATCGACCAACCAGGCTGTGAAGTGGGCACAAGTTGTTCGCTCTATACTCTATAGCCAGTGTAGGGTATCTTAGTCTTCACATGTGCACAGAGACTATGTAAACTGTGTGAATATTTAGATAAATAAATTTGTTGTCAACTCAAGAGTCTTCAGATGAGCTTCAGACATGCTTAAGACATGACATGCGAGATATATTTTACAATGATCATAGTAAACTTTCGCTTAGCTAAATTCAAGGTTAAATGGAATTTCAATGCTTATGTGGTTCCTCTCAAGTCTGATTCCTTAATTTTAAATTAATAATTTTGTATAATATATATTCAGAGATATTTGTGTTTTGTTTAAATAAATATTTAACAGAAATGCCCTTTCCTATAGAATTGCATTGCTGTCTACAGGGCATTACCTAGTCAATCACTATAGCCTTTGTCGATTTTTTAAAATAATATATATTATATCAATTTCAAGTATGTAATATGATTTCGTTCCGCAATTCAATATATAATATATATATTTTTATTTATATATATATTTGATATAACATTATTTCCGCAATTCAATATATAATATATAATATATTTTTATTTTTTATTTATATTTGTTTACATTCCTTAACAGAGCAAAGCTTAGTCACTTTTTTCTCAATTCCAAACATATATTACCATAGATCTCAGTTTATATTTTACTTATAGTCAAACGAAATTGTTACAGGGCATCGCCTAGTCAGTCACTCTACTTGTTGCTTGCTCTTTTACTTGTTACCATTTGCAATTGTTGTTTTAGTTCCAATTATTGTGGTATTTGCTTGTCAAATGGCCTTGTTTATGGTGAAAGCCGTTCGGCCAGTTCCTTTGCAGGTTTCATTTTTGTTTTGTTTTGTTTCTCTCTATTTATTTTGAGCTCGAAAATATTTGGTAATAGAGCGCCTGACACTTTCAGCTGATTTGGCAAATTTAATGCACGAACGGGAGCAGCTCTTTGTTTTCATTGTTGTCTGCAGGCGCCGCCTCCACTTCGCCCTCTGCCTCCTCCTCCTGCTCCTCCTGCTCCGCCGCCTGACAGCCAAGTGAATTAATTAAATATGCTCAAAGTGCACTCGTCGTGCCCAAAGTGGCGCCCCGGAACGGGAAATGCTTTCAAATTTATTGATTTGGCGAACCATCTCGGACCGACATCAATGAAATTTTCATTAAATTGTGTAACTTGTTTTACGCTTCTGCTCGCTCGACTACGGCTTCGCTCTGACTTTTCGCACAGTTGCCAACTTTTGCTTTAACATTCAATTGAGAAACTTTTGCCAAAGAGAGCTATGCTCCCCCCCAACAAAAAATAAAGTAAAAGATGAAGAGAATCAAGTGAAAAACATAAAGGAGAAGAAAAAACAAGAGCCTGCGGAAATGTTGTTAAAAGTAGTCTGCGCGCACGTCATAAAGTTGCATAAGTATGTAGTGTCCATGTTAAAGTATTCAGTTTGCCGGCGCGTGATTGAAATTCGCTAACAGTTGCCCAAAGTGGCTAAGCAGTGCGAGTGTTGAGGGTGCTCGGGGTGTTGAGGGGTGCTCGGGGTGTTGCATGGCATTCAAGATCTGTGGCAATCGTTATGATTGCTGCCTCGATAGGCAGTGCAATGGGCACTTGCGGCTGGACAATGGCACAAAATGTAGCCACGCCCAGTCAAGCTAGTTGCATTTCATATTGTGGGAGCTGCAGCTGCAGCTGACAGCTGCGAATGCAGTCGAAACAATAACAACGCAAACAAATGCACAAAAACTGCGCCAATGGCAAATTTTGCAGGCCATTGCAGCAGTTGGCTTCGCCTGGCTTTGGGCCTGCAAATTATTTATGAAATGAGAAATGTAGACTGGCAGCCAGCCTCGCCCACAGGTCACCTCACTACGACAGCATTGCATTGCAAGTGTCTCAGACTTACTTGAAGTGATAGCTGCCATTCTCGTAGCCAAAGAACGGCACCGTGTAGGTCAGCATCCAAATGTTGCCGCCACCGCAGTCGTAATAGGGCTTCGACCATCTGCCATCCTCGTACTTCACGGCCAGCGTGTCGTCCTCGACGCGCTCCTCGGTCCGGTTCGAATACAGATGAAATGCTGCAAGACATCAAACAGAAGAGACGAAGTTAAATCAATGGTAGCTGGCTGATCAACAATGAATGCATCAATGAGTGAGTGCATAGAATAGCTAAGGCAATGCAATGATGCTAAGAGGCAATGCTTACACTCCAGCTCGACCTTCATTTGCATTCTCCCTTAGCTAACGACGCTACAAGTGCCGTCCTCAGCTCTTGATGTTGCATTAAAAATAGATTTGGCAGCTGGACATTATCTGTATACTAGGAACACCCTAATGCCAAGTCGTATGAATTGCATAAGGAGCTATCAACTGGTTGACATGGCAGAGAGGAAATTTTACTAATGACAGATTGCGTAACATTGTACAGGATTTTACTTGACATAGTTGAAGTGAATTGTGCAAGCAAACGAAACGAGAATATGGGAGTAGAAATACCCAGAAGAGCTGTGTAATTAGCTAGGTACACAGAGCTTTACTGACTATGTTGCTCTGCCTCTTAAAATTTATGAAGAGAATATGATGCATGAGCTGTACGAACTGAGCTAAATAGGAAAGAATTAGAATTTCAGAAACGACTGAGTATAAGGTCTGAAAGGAAGAAGAGTACTCTGTGAGCCAATTAGCAGAAAGTGTCAGGAGTTAAAAGTACCCTAGCCTGAAATTCGGTCTGCAATGATATGAACTAACCAGAGATGAACTCTATAGACTTCAATAGCTTAATCTAGTTCGTAAAATTAAAGAAGAGATTTGTAATTATGACTAGATCTGAATGATGCTGAAATTGTGGAGTATTCCGTAATACACAATGCTCTTAAAATACAAGAAGTGAGGAGTGATATCTTTAATTTTAACGATTGTTTGAAACAGTGCCCAAATTGCGAATATCCATTATAAGCTAGAAGAGGAACACAACTCGAGCACTTTATAGCTCCAATGGGAGTCATATAACAGGCGTGCTATAAAAGAGTTTATCATCAGGCAGAGTATAATCAATCAGAGTCTAAAGAGCAAAAACTTAATTTCATTTAGGCAGAGCTCGCATTAATTGTGTAATGAAAGAGGTGGTGGTAGAGAGAGAGAGAGAGAGAGGGATAGAGACAGGCAACTTCATATATTTAAGTACGGTATTATGTGTTAACTCATATAACAATATTATATAAATATTATTTCTATATAGAGTCAGTCAAAGGGAATTGGCAAAGCAGCAAAAGCTCTGCATTTATAATTGTATTCAGTGTGAGTTGACGGCTGTCGACTGAGTAAAGCTGATGGCATTAATTTTGCAGGCTATTGACAGCGGAGCGATAATAATACATTTCAATTGAGACATTCGCGTGCATATTTGAAGGTGTCACAGCTCATCAATTCCTAATGGCAGCCAAATCGAAGGGCGAGAATCGAACATCTGTCCGAGTGCTATAAAAGCAGGCAATTGGGTTCGGGTCGCACTCAAAAGAGCCGGCACCGTTGGCATCATGGCATCCAGATTCGAGCTAATCAGACCGGCGCCACTCACCCAGCGGGTGCGTTCCCGTGAGGGGCTCATCTACATGTACCGGGGCATGTGGCTGATTGGGTGGATGCCGCCGGAGTCGGGTGTGTGGCGGTATGTCTATCTCACTTGGACAGTTGCGACCTTGCTCTTCGGGGTCATATATCTGCCGCTGGCGTTTCTCACCAGCTATGTGCTGGAGTTCAGTAGCTTTGCGCCCAGCGCGTTCTTCACCTCGTTGCAGGTGGCCATCAACGTGTACGGCTCGTCGTTCAAGTCGATGATCACGTACTATTTTATGTGGCGGCTGAGCAAAACGGATACCCTGCTGGATAGACTGGACGAGCGGCTGCAGAACGACGAGGATCGCCAGAAGATACACAATGTGGTGGCCCGCAGCAATTACGCCTTTCTGATCTACACCTTCATCTACAACGGCTTCGCGATCTCCACCTTCTTCTCCATGGTGCTGAGCGGCAGCCCGCCGTGGGCCATCTACAATCCGTTTATTGACTGGCGCGCCGGCGTGCTCAACCTGTGGGCCGAGTCGATCTTTGAGTACATCGTCATGTCCATTGTGGTGCTGCAGGATCAGTTGGCCGACTCGTACCCACTCATGTACACGCTCATCTTTCGCGCCCATTTGGATGTGCTCAAGTCTCACATACG